TTATTCCATACTTTTTTATCATTCACATACAACGTTTAAGCACAGAAATTATGTAAACAGTCATAATAACAAAGGAATACACCTTACTGAAATCTGATCCATTCATTATTGGTGTAGCCTTAAGACATGGTGCATACATTCAGACACAAAGTGAATTCTGTTTTGCACTCATTGTTTACTAAATATACACACATTCAGATTTCTTTCTATTACTCACATTACATACCAGCCTTGTTTTCTGTTTCATCAATAATGATATAACAGTAATGTAAAACTGCAGAGACAATAGATCTTCCCTTTATGTAATGAACAAGAAAGTAAATCTATGATTTGTGATCCTACCTTTGCCTTGACTTCAACGTTCAGAGAATTAATCCTTTATCAATTTTGTGTTTGTATAAAATCCCTGCAGACTAAACTCCTTTGGCAATTAATAGGGTAGGGTGGTAATGACCTTGCACACTTAGTAGTTGTTATCAGTTGTGAGAGGAATAAAGAAAAGATTAACTCTTGCTAATGTTTCAGACAACTGAAGTAATACTTAGTTATAGTCAACAGGAAAATCTTTTTCATAAGTTTACACGAAAGAAATTACAGAGTAATAACTTGTGCGTGAAAGATCCCTTCAATTCTGCATCTTCAATTTCATGAAAATGAAGCTTGATCCAATCAATCTGAGAATGTTACCTACTGGATTAACATAGCAGTTGTCAGTGAGGTAGTAAAAGACACTTTTCCTTCAGAAACATCTGGTCTTACTCTCCTTGTATTTTTACAAAGCTTTCATTAACATTTTGCCTTTGTTTCATTAATTTTTAGTCTGAAATAAGATTACTTTGACATACCCCTATTTTTGGTTATCTTTGTCTTTCTAAGGAAAACCAAGATGAGAAATTAACGCCAATTTGTAATTATCGTACGTCTGTTTTCCATGATGCAGGTCTATACCTCAGAAAATAAGACCTGGGGTAGAATGACCTTCTGTCTCCTTGCCACTGGATATAGACTTGGTGGCTAAAATTATGATATCTCTAATGCAAAAGTGCAGACAGTTGCTCTGAAAGCAAGGTGACTTCAAGAGAGCGATAGGTGTTGTGAGGACCTGAGAGTGGTGTTGTGTATAGGGCTATAATGCTAGAGGTGTGTTACACAGACAGGGCTGTAGCATACCCTTTGTAGATAAGAACACTGTAAAGTTATCATCTATAAATATTATATTGATCCTTGAATAACAGTATCATGTAGACTTAAGTAGTGTTGACATGTCATAATAATCCATCACACTGATCCTGAACAGCTAATGAGTCTTAGTGAAAGTACTTTTAAATGTTATTGAAGGAAATCAGAAAATTGTCATTGACAATATCACTGCAGTTCTAACATGTATTATTTTGCCTAGATACAGAAAACCGTGAAATCTAAAGACTAAATGCATGTAGAATGATAATTTGAAAAAAAAAAAAATTTTGTCAACATTTGTCAACATTCTACTTTGCTATGAGATTTAATAATACATTTATAACTGAAAAAAAAACTTGAAATGGAATTACAAAATTTCAAAGATTGCATTTTGCAACATAATGGAAACAGCTCTCCCTATTTAAGTTCATCAATCTGATTTCACGTAGGTAATACATAACAAGCTGATATTCCTGAACTAATTAAATTATGATATCAATTAGATTAAATCTTTTCAATTCAATCTCTACAGAAACCACTAAAAACCAGACAGGCCTAAAATTACATGGTAATTAAGGCTGACACAACAACAGAGGAAGCATTATTCAACTTCAAAGAAAAACAGAAAGAGATACTGAACATGAAACATCCAGACATATTCTGATCTCATGAAAACCAACACCTGTGACAACTGAGAAAAGATACAGGAATCAACTTGCTGCTAATAATATCTTACCTGTTCAGGTGTTTAACCTCACTTCAATTCCCACAGCTTGATATTTCTGTCTTTTTATTTCAGTCCATAACTATCATTTGTAAACATTAACACATTCAGGGATGCATTGGAATGGAGGCCTCCACTCCAGTCGGTGACCTCTGTGTCAATAAGATCACTAAAGGAAGTACCATAAACTACAGCTATCTTGCCTCGTGGCCTGACAAGACAATTGTAATGCCATTTACAAATATGTAACAACAGAAAGTGAAAATTGACCGTTGGTCAGACCCATACACAGCTTGTCAGTCTTTGTCACTGGACACCAGTGGCTTCAGAGTAAACATCAGGGTGGAAAACATTCAGACGTTGCCAAGAATATGTGACATGTCAGAAAGATTGATAGGCACAGGTAGCTTAAAGGGACATTGACAGGGAAATTGGGACTTTAAAACATCCCCATCAAAGGCAAAACACATCATCTCAATCTCATATTTAGTCAAACACACAACGATTACAAGTTTTCATCCAAAGTTGATCCATCTTTCCATTACTTCTTTGATCTGTTTTGAGGAATTTGTGACCAGATTCACCATTCAGAAGTAATGGCTGTAACAGATCGTAGACACTAGGTTTTGATTATGTCATAATCAATGACATTATTGCAGGTCAGAATGCCAAGGTGCTGAACAAACTTATTATAGAACCTAAATATCAGGCCTTTGAATATCTAATGAGAAATACATGTTCTGATAGAAAGTCTGTGAAGCTGAAGTGTAAAGATATGTTATAATGCCATTATCACTATTATATATTTGTTTCCGTTATTTCTCTTTACAAAAACAATCCGTCTAGGAGATACTGGATGAAAGTGAAAAACAAAAATTCTGATGTTGAACTCAGCACGTTTTCATTGCCAAATCCGCACTTTTTAGCTTTTAAATCCAGCCAGGAATCACATTATCATTACATCAACATAAAACAACATCTTTTCAAGAGAACTAAACAGAAACCTGATAAAAACTACATATGAAGAAAAAGTGGAGTAAATGAAAGCTGTTTAGAACAGCACCAGCTAAATTCCTCAAATGTGACTATTGTTAAAGACATGTACAGTATAAAAACTTTAGTAAGAGAGGTGTATCAGGCAATTCACACCCATCCCTAACTTATCAGCTAATTTCATGGTAACTTAAGAATTTACATACCATTTTATGATAATCTTTTAACATATTCATAAATTCATAGGAGAATCAAGAATCCATTGATATTCCTCAGTATGAGGAGTAGACTATCATTAATCCTCACACTGGGAGATAGTGGCCCAGATTTTACTGCTGTCGTATCAACAGTGAAATTAGTCAATTGAAGAATGCTAGGTAACCTGTTAACACAATTCCAAATACTTTCATTTTTTTAATATAAGAACTGTTTTCACAAAAGTTTGAAGATCTAGAGAGCCCAATTTTTATAAGGTACACTGGTATGTATTAAAACAGTCACTTTTTCATTTTCATTTATCAATATGAAGAATTATAAATACCATAAGGTAGTAAAAGTGAGGGAAATTGAACATTTCATTTTTTTTCACAGACCCTCTCAGCAGGAAAATACTTTCAAGGATCAGATTGCCTGCCGTAAATCCCTTAGATTTTGCAAATTCTTTATTTTGCCAATTTAACTCTTCAGACATATTTGCTAATACATGATTTTGTAAACACTGATCTAGAAATTACTTCAAATTTGCATATGATGAGCCATTATTGACCTGTACTCTTCAGGACTCCGATATCAGTAACCATATCAACATCCAGATTTATTTTTCAAACCACATGATGTAATAATACATACTTCATTTAAAATATTCAAGTCAATTTCAATGCAATCTTTTAAAAAAGGTCAAGTCCATCCATTACTATTACTGGGCCTGCCCTTCAGAACTGAGGGAGATTACACCCTCTATTTTATGGTTCTTATGTTCACAAGATATTCACAGGAAATTTGATTGGTGGAAATCAAGTGAATCATTTCAAGAGCTGTTCAAAGCTGATAGTTGTTTTAGGTGAACATTATCAGTTTTAACAGCTTACAAAACCAAGTATCCTTAGCAGTAAAAATCTGCTTTTTCATGGTTAGTTGGCATTAAATCAGAAGAAAGTTAAAGGGAAATAACTCCAGTAGTCATAAGACAAATTTTTGTGGAATGTTCAACACATGCATTTTGAGCAGTATCTATTATTAAAATGCGCTTCCCCTCTGTCCAAAACAGAAGTACAAAATTCTAAACATATGAAATTTCTGATAATAAATTACTGGTCGACTACAATTTTGGAACTGTATGTATACAGATCTCCGTCAGGTGTTGGCAACAAAAGTTCAAACAGTAAATGTCTGTAATTATGACCAAGTGCCAGCAAAGTATGTCAGTTGTGACCTCAAGAAATGACCTCCTTCTCCTCTGAGTGTTGTATGGTTCTCCAAGAGGCTTTTTTTTTTCATAACCCAATAAGTATCACCATATTCATGACGAGAACTGCTATGTTTACAGAAATACGCTACCACCTTTCATAGTTATCATCTTTTACAATTCATCCGATAATAGGTGACTTCAGAAAACTTATCGACTTTGTCTTCATCTTATTCATGTTTGTATTTCAATCATGCTTTTTAAAAATCTCCAGAGACAAAAGCTATCATGGAAGGCCCAGAAAGCCATCAACACTTATTTGCATTGCAGACCCTCTGTTTGGACACATAGGATTTTAATACTGTGACATAAGCTCACTGGTACAATAGCTTACTGTTGCTAGATCCTAGCATGTACCCGATGCTTTAACCTAAATTTTCAAGTCAATCCGGCATAGAAAGAAAATCCCAGTTGTTTTCATTAATCATTAAATGTATTAGCCCTGGAAAGATACTTATCTTATTGAGAACTTTATTAAAAATAAAAAGGAACCATAACGATGAAAAAGTCTTGCAATAATGAGTCTTGCATGAAAAATAATGAAATTTTCTTTTTACATCTGATAATAATAAAACATAAAAGAATTATACTAATTATGCTAACTTTCTCGGAGCAAGATTTTCTGTATTTTTCACCAACCTGTCGTATTTTAGCAAGCTTGCAGCTCTTGGCAAGAGCTTCGGAGTCTGAAGAATTCTTGTCTCTCTGGCTTTGGTCAGAGTTTGTGTGTACAACAACTGGACTTGATACGGTTACTGATGGAACAAGATCTGTTTTGGGAGGAGAGACCATCGTCTTGGAGTCAGTTTTGACCTGGGTATGGTTCACACTTATTCCAGTTATGGTCTTTTGGTGATCAGCTAAACCATCTCGTAACGTGGAATCCTTGCGATTCGTAGACTGGCTGGAACTGGGGAATTTATTACTACGCTGATGAGGCTGTGGAGATCGGTTTAGCTTTGTGGACTCGTTGGAACTCATGCTGTCTGACAATGACTGTAAAAGAAACAAGAGTTATATCATCAGAACTACATATTCTATTTAATGATCAGGTGTTGTTTTACCATGTTTATCCTGTTATTAGCCCATGCTTAAAAGTAAGCCCACTTACTGTTTTTTAGAAGAATTACAAACAAATACTATTTCATTGTCCTGTAATAACCCCATCCACTAGTTTTGAGGCAGAATTTCTAAGTTTGCCCCTTGGTTTATCACAGGATAAATATGGTATCGAAACAGCCATATTTTTCTTAAAACTAAAAAGTTCCTAAATTTCCTTAATGGCCTCGTCCCTAAGTATTTAGCCCTTTTAAAGTTTATTCTTATACTTTTCATGTAAGAATTGTTTAAATAAATTCCCACAATAAATTCCCACTCTGTAACCATTTTTGGCTCTGTCCCTTTCTGTTCCATGTGGTAGTGATCTTAAGAAGCAGTTCTGATTACTGTTGCAAAATGCAAAGTTTCATAAAAATCTGGGATATTGTTTCTAAGGAGATGTCCAACAAGAGATCCCAGAGGGATCTTGACGCCAACCATTCTTTGATCTTTATCTGCTCTTTAAAAGTTAGATCTTTTCCCTTCTTTTCTCTTCTATTCTCTGCTTTTGCTCTTAATGATAAGACATTTGAACATTCCTTTGCAGAAATAGCAGTGATAATCTTTACCTGCCAAATCCAAAATGGATGTCTGGAAGCCATTTTGATTCTTCTGACCAGTCCCAAAATCAAACAGGCACAAGGAGAGACCAAATGGAACATACATATGAAATTGAGATATCCTTTCCATACTTCGTTAGAGATAGGGATAACAATCTTTACTAAGTGAAATCCAAGATGGCTGCCTGTTGGCAATTATCTTTTTCCTTATCAGTCCCACACTCAAGCAGGCAAAACCAGAGACCAAAAGGAACCTATACATGAAATTTGAGAAAGATCTATTTAGTACTTCTCAAAAAATAACAATAAGAAAATTTCAAAGTCGAAATCCATGGCCGCTTGTGGGCCCTTTTCTTTTTCCTGATCAGACCTAAAATCAAATGGGCACAACTTGGGACCAATGGGGAACATACATACGAAATTTAAGAAAGAAGAAAAATCCTTCAAGTACTTCTCAAGAAATAGTGGTAACAAACTTTCAAAGTCAAAATCCAAGATAGTTGCCTGTCTGCCATTTGTTTCCCCTTATCAGTTTCAAAATTGAATAGGCACAACTAAGGACAAAGGGGAACCTACATAGGAATTCTGACAGAGATCCATCCAGTACTTCAGAAGATATAGCGACAACAAACTTTCATTGTCAAAATCCTATATGGCCACCTGTGGGGTATTTAGTTTTTCTGATCAGTCCCAAAATTAGATGGGCACAACTAGGGACCAAAAGGTACCTCTAAATCATATTTAAAAAAAAGATCCATCAAGTACTTTTCAAGCAATAACAATAACAAAATTTCAAAGTTTAAATACAAGATGGCCACCTGTCGGCCATTTTGTTTTCTTAATCAGTCCAAAAATCAAAGGGCACAACTAGGGACTAAGAGGAACCTACATAGGCAATTTGAGAAAGATCCATCCAGTACTTCTCAAGAAATATCAATATCAAAGATTGTTTATGGACAAACAGACAGACCACGGACGCAGGGCGATTTGAAAAGCCCACCATCTGATAAGAGTGGGCTAAAAATATTATTGTTAACAGGTAATAATGAAAGGCAATTACAAGAAATCTTTGATCGACTCGACTGATCCCAGAAAAAGTAAGAAGGGACCTAACACCCTATAACCCACAGAATCTATGATAAACCATTTTGTAAAAAACATTTTAACCTTCTTTGTCATTGCTGTCCTCTGATTGTGTAAACTATAAGCAATTTATTTCAGTGATTATCAGTATGAAAAAAGGAAAATAAAAACACCACTGTCTTACTCACTTATCATTACTACGCAGTATCCATCAGAACCTGCTTTTTATTTTTACAACTGTGGAAATATCAAGCAGAGAATAATAAATCTACACTAATGTTGGTAATTATAGGAACAGAAACTGCAGAAAGTATGCCTATATTTTCTACAGGTGTTTATGACTAAGTGTTTGTGTGTTATATGACAGTGCAGTGTCACTTGTGTAGTTACTTCTCAATAACTTGTTAACCAACTGGTATAAAGTACAGGTGTTGATTACCTATCCTGTCATAGTGCCTAGCAGGTGTCAGTTGTATATCACATGAAACTAATCCAGATTCTATATATGCATACAATTTAGGAATGAAAAAATAATTAAGTTAATACAAGGAGGAAAAAAGAAAGGGGGTGGGGAACTTTAATGTTCAGAATTATTTTTTGTCATTAAATGATTTTCAAAAAGACAAAATCAATTTGAATTACTGTGCATTGAAGTTGGACAAGAATTTTATTACAATTAATTGCAAATGTTAACACCAAAATGATTGTTAGAAGTTATATTCAACAAGGTCTCTTTGTTATAAATCACTTCTTATACCAATATCAACATACTGAAATCCAGCTTTAACCCTAGCAAGATACAAGGCATTTGAATGGACATCAGAAAATTTAGTTGAAGATACTTATTTGTAAAGCTTTGAATATACATGTGCATGAGTATACATATATCCTATGCTACTAAATGGTTGAAATGGTTTTCTAGAGCAGTGAAAGCATGCTATACTTTTCACAAGAGGCCATTAGAATCCAAGACATTTACATAACATACATGCCTACAGCCAGATGTTTTCTTCAGGAAGCATGATGCACACAAATACCTGGCAACTTGTAACATAATATGATACACATAAACCTGAAAAAATTTCCTCTCAAACTAATTGATGCACCAGACAGAAACTTTTGTTTATAAGAAATGAAGATTTGCATCATTCTGAGAATTGCTATTACCATATTTTCCCTAATGCTTATTGCTGATTAATTTCCTGACCTCAATTCCTTCAACATATTTTACTGATCAAGTCTAATCAGTAGAAACTGATTTTCTCTTTAAAATAACTGACTTTCACTGTTGAATGTTTCACCTGAAAAGCGATTCCAGGCAATCATTTCAAGCATCTTTCATGCTGTAAAGTAAAGACTTCTACTTTCATGAAACGACTCATAAACATTTCTGTAATGTTTATAACAATGCACTAGTTAGAGTGGAGATTTATGGGCTGCAGTGCAATAAAACTGAATCTTCTCTGCTCTTTCGAGTTTACATAAGGATATCCAACAACAAAATATCTTAAAGATATGAATGCATTTGATGCATACAAGTATCAAATCATTTGATGAATTTGCAAAAGTTGTCAAGTATGACCTTGACCTTTCTACTTTGACCAATAACCATTTTATATAAGGTGCAGAACTAGACATTATGGTGCTATGGTGTACATATGAACTGAATCTGCTGAGTTCTTAAGATATGAAATTGTTTCAGAACAGGATGTGACGGGATGGATGGATGGATGGACGAACAAGGGACACACTTTGTATTCCCCCCTCCTCCTTCCCTTTTCTACCATGAACAGGCACCGTGCATAATAAAATGGACAGATTTACAAATTGAAAGTTAAATCAGAAAACCAAACTACCAAATCCTAGTATGCCATCTGATTACTTTGGATTAAAATTGGTAGGAAGAGTTTGCAATGTACCTACACATGGACAGACAAAAAAAATGGTCGCTTACATTCTCTGGCATGGATTTATGCAGGGTGTTCTAATTACAGGCAACTATGCTGGCAATGTTTACAGGTCCTCACTAGAGGTAAATATGGTAAAGCTTACAGGAACTTTTCAGGAGTAAATGGTTGTACAATACACATAGAGTAATATATGTATGTTATCAAAGCTAAGTAATGTCAAAATAACCTTGATTGAGGTGTAGAAAACATCACAACCAACACAAGAATGAGTTTTGTAATCAGAAACTACTTTCTGTTATTTTTCAGGAAAAGAGAAGCAATTATCCATCCACATGCGACAAATTATTTCATGTCTGATACAGATCTGTATATCATAACCAGCAATCTACCACAACACTAGGCATTGGTTTTCTATAGCAAAGAAATGGACTTTTCTATGAACCTTACACCATAAGCCTTTATGTTTAGACCTGAAAAGCAGTGGGTTATTGTCTTTTATGGGCACGATAACACCTGTGACTTTACTAGCATTTCTCAGAAGGTATATTAAAATTGAGAAATCATTCTAATGTATAGATCTAGTGACTCATAACCACTTGCTTAGAATGTCTACTAAACCAGCTGCTATTTGGAGTACAGCTTGATATTTTCTTCAACTTCCTGTTTTGATAAGTGACAATGTTCCAAAATGTTTTTTCTGATTCTTTATAAAATAGCAGAGTAGATGAAAGTAAAATGTCAAAATGATTCACTCATGGTGTGTGACACTTATTGTACAAAACATAATATTTTGTACACAAATCTTGAAGATGCTATACTCCAAAAATCTGTATTGGATTTGTGAAGGTCATGTTTGACTAGTCACTGTCTTTGTAAGATTTAACTACAAACTAGGATATTGCAAATATTTTATTTTGCACACTAAGCTCTTCAGACATATTTGTGAATACATAATTTCGTGAGTGGTGATCTAGAAATGACTTTAAATTTGCGAATGATGGGCTATCAGATATATGGACTTCGATATCAGTAACCATATCTGTATGGATGACATCAAGAATTATTTCTGTACAATAATCGCAAAGGATTTAATTTAGCGATTGGCTCTCCTAGCGTATTTACGTGAAAATAAATCCCATACAAAATAAAAGTGAATTACAGTAGCAAGAGAGATATGCCTAGACACTGATTTTACCTCAAGAAGGTCAAAATTATAGATATTGTTATTGTGACCTGATAAAGGTCACATAAATCTTGATGACATATATGTACATAGGTACCAATCACATGCATGCAATTATGTGATAATCTGCAATTGAATTTCAGGTACAGACAGAAAGCAGATGGATGAAGGGATCAGCTGATTTGTAGTATACCCTTCTTATCATCAGAGGACAAGTTAACAATCTGTGCATATTATGTTCTATGAAACATAATGATGGTCAGTATACCAATATAAGTAATCAAAGTTTGAATATATATAAGTGCTTTAAAAACATGTCTGCAATTTTCTTCACATACCAACTTTCCAAGATGGTTGGCCAAATCGGAGGTAATAGATAGGTCATGATCCCCTTCCTCTGTCACTCCCACATCTCTAAGGCTGTCCTGCTGCAGTGGAGAAACTTCCTTGTGTGGGTACTGTGGTAATGCCCTGTGGGTAAGGGTTGGTGTTGGCGTGACCTTTAAGACAGGCTCAATACTGTGAGGTAAATCTTTTCTGCAATGCTGTATGTGTGATGAAGTTGTCCGTTCCCTTGCTGGAAAGAATTTTAAGAGATATCACAAATGTAATATGCTTGTACATGTATTCCATGAAAAAGACTTAAAAATTCAAACAGTGATAAAACAGCACGTGACAGTGTCCATTGATCGACAACATTGGGCAAATTACTTCTAGCAATACATCACAATTTTCAATCTTAGCCATGTTTTCCAATTTGTACAAGCACTAAATTGAAAAAAAATATAAAAAACTTAGGAGCCTTGAATCTAGTCCATTATGAATGTAGGAGAAGAGTGGCATATAGAAATGAGACATGCACATAATGTGCAGCTTTTGTCCTTGTAAGACAGTTGTTAAACCTCATGTGACTGGCATAGGCCAATCAATAACTATAATCATACTTTCTCCACACAACAGCACAGCAAAAACTTTTTTACCCATGCAAACAAGGAAGTACCACAAAACCTTCCTGCTCAATGAATTACCACAGAATCTTGTGCTCAATCAAGTACCACAGAATCTTGTGCTAAATGAAGTATTACAGTCCTGTATTCAAGAAAGTACCACATAATCTTTCTGCTCACTGGAGTGCCATAGAATCATGTGCTCAATGAATGGTACAACAGAATCTTTCTGTTCACTTAAGTACCACAGCCACTTGGGCTCAATGAAGGCTACCACAGAATCTTTCTGTTCACTTAAGTACCACAGGCACTTGGGCTCAATGAAGGCTACCACAGAATCTTTCTGCTCACTGGAGTGCCATAGAATCATGTGCTCAATGAATGGTACAACAGAATCTTTCTGTTCACTTAATTACCACAGAATCTTGGGCGCAATGAAGGCTACCACAGAATCTTTCTGTTCACTTAATTACCACAGAATCTTGGGCTCAATGAAGGCTACCACAGAATCTTTCTGTTCACTTAAGTACCACAGGCACTTGGGCTCAATGAAGGCTACCACAGAATCTTTCTGTTCACTTAAGTACCACAGAATCTTGGGCTCAATGAAGGCTACCACAGAATCTTTCTGCTCACTGGAGTGCCATAGGCACTTGGGCTCAATGAAGGCTACCACAGAATCTTTCTGTTCACTTAAGTACCACAGACTCTTGGGCTCAATGAAGGCTACCACATAATCTTTCTGCTCACTGGAGTGCCATAGAATCATGTGCTCAATGAATGGTACAACAGAATCTTTCTGTTCACTTAATTACCACAGAATCTTGGGCTCAATGAAGGCTACCACAGAATCTTTCTGTTCACTTAAGTACCACAGAATCTTGGGCTCAATGAAGGCTACCACAGAATCTTTCTGTTCACTTAAGTACCACAGGCACTTGGGCTCAATGAAGGCTACCACAGAATCTTTCTGTTCACTTAAGTACCACAGAATCTTGGGCTCAATGAAGGCTACCACAGAATCTTTCTGTTCACTTAAGTACCACAGGCACTTGGGCTCAATGAAGGCTACCACAGAATCTTACAAGGGTTTTAATCTCTGGTTTTGGATCGGGCATTTTTGCCTGATTTTTGGAAGAAAATTGGTGGACTTGATATGAAATTTTCAGGAGAAAATGTAAATTTTGGTAATTTGGCTTGAATTTAAGATAATTTTTTAAATGGGGCTGGGGCCAATTATCAGTCCTATAAACCCCAACTTATTCTATATTTTTGTACCTGTTACTTGTACAATTCTTGCTATAACAGCCTATATTTATTTCCTTATCAAACTGACAGATATAATATTTGTAATTTCTAATCCCACACTGTTTTAATCTCTTTTAAAAACAAAACAAATCTAAGAAACAGAACCTAGAATGGTACCTCAGAACTCCACAGAGTACATTTTCATATCTCTCCTGTGCTCCTTAATTAAAGAGATCCTGACATGAAATAATTTCTTCTGGTTCTAGTAATTCATACGGAATATTTTCAGTTGCATTTTAATACCTTAAAAGTACAAAGCTCTACAACTGTAATACAATATCTCATTGCAAACGTCAACAACAGGTCTAGACTTTATTGAGCACAGACCACTACATCATCCTGATGTACCAAGTTTAACCTCATAATGATTAATTTTGCCTCGTTGTCTTGTGATCTCATCAAAGATAACAGAACAAGATAATTGATTCCCCTGACACTGAGGTATATAATTATATCAAAGTCCACCACACTGTCTGCCCAGTTCTATAACTCTATCCAATATTCCAGAGCCATCTCCCGTCAATGTACAATATCACACCTTTCTTCCATAGCATGCTAAATGTCAATATGAAGATAGAGGACATTTTACACAAGTTTCCATTTAACATGTGAATTTATGAAATGGAAAGTTATCTCATAGGAAAATTTGTGATGAGTTTCATAAATCATACATAAAGTAGAAACAAATTTAAGAAACTTTTTATCACATGATCAATTCTTCAAGCAAATATGTCTGCAATAGTTATTTTTTTGTGCAATACTTGACAAAATATTTCACCATGTGACAAATTATGATCTCAAATTTCATTCCATGTCACAAGATAAATGGAAACGTCTCAAATTTTCATTTTTAGCAAGCCTCTGATCAATTTTTTTCAGATTTGTATGACATTAATATCATGTGAAATTGAAATTCATGCAAGAGATATTGAACTAGGCATTACCTCAAATTCAAAGACATACATTCCATCCTCAAAATATAAAATCAGTATCACAAAAACGTAAATTGAGGCAGTCTAGCCAGCCAGTGCAATATACATTCAACCTGAAAAGGTAGTTTCTTTTCACAAACTATTTGGACTTCGTCTCAAGAGCTTAACAGCCATATATCATGATTCAACTCTTTCTGCTAAACCAGAAGAAGGCATTTTTATTGTTTTAACAGATGACCTCTGTGACCTTAAATGTCGATCAAGGTAATGTCTTTTTGAAAACTGTGAAGGCCTTCATCTCAGGAAATGAACAGCCAAACATGATGACTTAACTGGCCTCTTGGTTATTGAGAAGAAGCCTGGATAGATCAGGTGAGCTAAAAATCAACTGTTCTACTTAAATCTACACAGGTAAAAGGGAAATTAAATTTCCAATTAATTGATAATTACAAAATAATATCTAAGTTTTTGAAAAGGCCATTGGTTAAATGACTTTTATCCTATCATTTTAAACAGCCTCTGATACACAGGAGATGGGTGGAGTGAATCTCTGTTCATTGGCTGGTAATAAAAGATTTTTTTTATGTGACAGTATATCAAAATATGCAAGATTTTGTCAAGACTGAAAGAGTAATACGTAATGCGGTACAATTGGCTAGACAGTAAATGGCTAAAAAAATATCAATCTGAAAAGATATGAGACATCAATCTCAACATATTCAAGCCTGCTGATCACTCTGAATATTAACCATGTGTGGTTTTACAGAGCACCTGTACCAGCAGTCTTTTAGCCTTCATCAGAGTTATAATAAATATGATTCATTCCATGAATCTCTTATTTTCTCAACTCTTTTTTCAGTCTTTTGGGAAAATTCAATGATTATTTGATAAATTCACTATATCTTCTCACAGTAGAGTTTTCTTCTTGATAAGAGATATAAGGAATGCATTGTTGTTTAATGGGAACTACAAACAAACATACCAAATACTGGTACTTACATAAGTTTTTCATAGAAATCTAAGTATTTTTTTTATAATATATTGTCATTATATCTGTGTGACTGTCTTGTTTAGCTCCTTGACCATCATCACACCAGTAGACAGCAGGGATAGAAAAATTATATGTATTACATATCTTAATCTTACAGGGATATTTAATACATTTAGCTGGCCAACTACATTTAACGCCCCAAAAAAAGGTATGTTATTCATTGATCAAATATCCAAAAGCAGTAGGAACTATACAATGTGATAGATAAACTGGTCCATCCAAAAGATTACCATCAAACATATGTACACTTGTACTGAAGGTTTGTAATATATAGGCATCAAATAGAAAGAAAAGATCAACTGGACAAATTTTGTTTTACTGTCCAATAATTGTTTTATATGGGAAAGCTTACTTTATTTACTTTTTTTTTAAACAGTGGTTTATGTAAAATAGGTTCAGCATGATCTTTGTTAATGAGTATAGCTTATCCATCGGTCAATCCTGATAAATCATCAGTAAACATCTCTGAAATCACCTGGAATACTTGACTAAACAGCACTGTAAAACATTAACAAACACCTACTACAGACTACACCAGATGCTGTTATAGGTAGACCTTTCCATTTCAAACAAGAAGTGCATGATGAACAGAATGAAGAGGAAACCCAAACAGAGAGTACAAACATCTGAAATTTTGTCCCCTGCTGTGGTGTGCTTGTATGTGATGTAACATCTAATTATATCTGGAAAGCATCAACCAATCAGCAATCAGAAGTAACTGTAGCTTCATCACAACAGAATCACTGTGTCTTTGAGTATGCTTTATGCAATAGTTAATTCAAAGGAAACATCCTCATTTGTTAGAACAGCTTACATCAGGAAAACAACCAATCAGAATTCAGTGAGCTAGAGAACAAAACATGTACCAGAAGACCTCCTCGAAAGTTGGCATTGGGCATCACAGAAATTATGAAAAATTCTTTTTTATATTCCACTTGATAAACTTTGGTTTACATAATGGATCAAGGTCTACAATTTCACACAGAGCTCCAGGCTGTGAGACTTGATTTTAGTATACAACATTCTATTACTACAAGAGGAAATTACATGTAATTGCAACTGTATCATATATGTCACAGTAAAGGTGATGTACTGACTAAGGCACACAGTGAAAATCTTTAGTCCTTTTTTTGTGAAAGACTGACACAAACTATAACATTGACAGATTAGCTAAAGCTGCTTTGTATCTGACCTTTACAATAAACTTGGGTGGAACAGAAGTTTTATTTTCCAAAAACATGGTCGTTTACTCTTCCTTAACTTCCAACTAATAATGTATTGTAAGGTTGTTTGTTCAGAACTTTTCACTTGGTGACCTAGACCTTTGATTAATACACTT